CATTTGGTGAAACGACTGGTCCTTTAATATCAGAGATTGGCCGTCGCATTACGGAATTGTCCGGCGAACGTAGAGAGACTCTATGGTTGGAGCAAAGGTTGGGTTTGGCTGTGCAGAGAGGCAATGCAGCTAGCATTCTAGCAGCGGTCAGAGAAAAGTTCGACGTGGGCCCGCTCCTCGCTCGCGTCACAGCTCAGTGACCCTCGGAGTCGGTGTAGGCCACCATCAGAGGCGTTAAGGTCGGGGCCCTGATCATTGACATGAAACCATTCCCTGTTTTTAATTAATAAAATCAATTCCTTTTTTTTTGTTGAAATGGTGAGTGTGGGAGGCCTTTTTTCAATAAACTTGGGCCAATATTGTCATGTCAGGTCTACAGCGCCATGTACGGTCTACAAAAAATTTTTGCAATTGATAAAACAGTACAAATACATATCATACAATTTGTCCGATTGTTGCACATACATTTATACATCAATTTGTACATAGATTCGTATATAAATTTGTATATCAATTTGCTCATAAATTCGTACATCAGTTCGTACATCAACTCGCACATCAATTCATTCAACAATTCGTACTTTCGTAGATGTTGTATAAATTGATGTTGATGATATTAATCAACTGTACTTATTGTACTCTAGATGTAAGTAGTCCGCTGCTTGTAAAAAAGTTAATATTAATAAATGCAAATGTTAATGCAATTTTTTTAGTTTACATGGATGTAATAATTAAGGCAAATTTCTGTAAAATATTGAAGTTAATTGAAAGAAAATATATTCATTTGCGATGACGTTTTAAACAACGTTAAAGAAAAATACGAGAATTAGTCTCAACCAATATAGTAAGGAGAAAATTAAAAGTTTATAGCGACATTTTATTTTAGAAGTCTACTTTACGAGTGACAAAGAATATTATTATAATGATGCTAGTTATGACATTAAAGTTATATGGGAAACCATTAAATGACAGGTAACAATGAGGCTACGTCTAACAGAAGAAATTAGATAAATGATACGGTAACAATGAAGTGAAGTTTTGAGGACAATTGAGGCGAAAGTAACAATATGACAGCCGATAGCAGCTACGTTAAAATTGGCAATAAAATGATACGTATAATCAACCTCTCTTAAGAGAACATCCGTACATCAGATGTTCTCTTTCCTGTTAATGCAGAGACTGGCAAGGCTGTAGCCGTACAGAGATGGAACGACCGTACAGAGATAGAGCAACCGTACAGAGATAGAGCAGCCGTACAGAGATGGCGCATCCGTACAGAGATAGAGCAACCGTACAGAGATAGAGCAACCGTACAGAGATAGAGCGACCGTTCAGAGATCAAGCAACATAACTGTATAGAGACAGCTAATTACTGTTCCTGATACTTGTTAAAAATAATGTATATTAATACCCTTAACATTTATCTTTTTTTTTAATTCAAATAATTTGTACTGGTTTGCAGAAAAATAAAATTTACTTCACGTTTTTTATTTTTTCACTGTCGGAATATATTGATGTATATGATTTAAATTTTTATGTTAAGGGTTCACGTATTTTTACCATAGTTCCATTATGCTGAAGATATTTTTCTTTCATTATCCGCCTTCCATCACTTTGGAAGGAGGAAACACTTGACTATTCGCCCTTACTTGAGCGAATTTAGCGCTAGTTTAATTATGAAGAAAAAATATACAAAATATTTAAGTTCATTATTCCGAGGACATCATTTACCAAATAAATTCTGCGTACAAATTTATTTCATTTTGCATGTTCAGAATCTAAACGCATTTTCCAAACCCTAGCGACTTAAATTAAGATAAATAGTCAAACTATGCACAAATTTTGTCTGTATTTTTCAATTTTGTATTTTTCCTATTAGAGCGTAGAGTTATTTGTGATATAGTTTAAAATTTTAATAATAATGAATATAATATATATTTATTCAATAATAAATAGATAGAATAATAAATTAGATAGTGTTTTTCGTATCAATAAATGACGAAGTTAGCAGAAGCCGTTAAAAATAACAATTCATAATAATTAAATTACAACAATAAATACGACTAGTGGCAGAGCCAGTATACATTGTAATAACAAGTGACGATTTGCAACAACCCAACTACGATTAGCAACAACAAATAACGGCTCATAATTGCTTTCAATTTGCTATTACATTTACATTGCAATAGCAAATAACGACTCATAACTGTTCCTGTTTACATTGTAATAGCAAATAACGACTCATAATGGTTTCTGTTTACATTGTAATAGCATATAACGACTTGTAACGGTTCCTGTTTGCAATGTAATGTCAAATCACGAATCTTAACGTCATTACTATACATTGTAATTACACATAACGATTCATAACAATGCAATTATTATTAGTAACAACAAATAACGGCTCGTAACGGAGCCAGCAGCGCGAACCGCTCATTACGGTGACCGGAACGCAACTAAGTTGAGTGCGTCGGCACTACGCACAACTTCTACGGCAACTTAGGAATTTACGGACGTTACGAACGTCGTATGAACGCAGGAATGCCGCCACTCATGGGTGTCGTACGAACGCACGAATGCCATCACTCACGAGCGTAGAACGAACGCATGAATGCCTACATCCTTTTCGCTGAACGCTGCAACACGAAGGATCCGAATGCTTTCTACGATCTTGAAGGAAAAAACGAACAAAAAACGGTTGTGTTCTGTAACTTTAATCTATGGCGAGCTCAGCTATTGAGCACACACGTTTCTACACACTTATGCGTCAGGAATGTTAACCCTCTGTCTGTTAACGGAAAGACTATTTACCATTCGTTTTAGTACGAATAATATTAAAAACATCAATGTATCGGTAGACGAAAAGTTAACATCTAGACTATTGACAGTTGAACACGTTTTGCACTAAGCAATGACGAAATTTTTAGAAACAAAACTATATAGAAGTATCGTTTTTATTTGAACTCATTGAAGCAATATTTACGTTATTATCTGTTTTGTCGTGCAGCTGGCCGGGCAAAGAACGCACCAAATAAAGTTTCACGTTCTTATCTGTTTTGTCGTGTAGCTAAGAACGAATCAAATAAAGTTTTACGTTCTTATCTGTTTTGTCGTGTTCGTGCAGCAGGCCGGGCTAAGAACGCACCAAATAAAGTTTTAGGTTCTTATCTGTTTTGTCAAAGGCTCAGGGTCGGCATGACTGAAAATGCCACAATCCAGCTAAGAACGCACCAAATAAAGTTTTAGGTTCTTATCTGTTTTGTCAAAGGCTCAGGGTCGGCATGACTGAAAATGCCACAATCCAGGACCGTGTTGACCAAATCTTGCGCCGCGTTTGGGCGCGAGTCAAAAACATTTCACGTGAGCGCTAAGCCGACAACGTCTCACAGTCTTCAATATATTGATCAATATTGATCAGTTCCCTATATTGATAACTTACCAATATTGATCAGTTCTCAATGCTGATCCTCAATACATTGATCAATATTGATCACTTCCCAATACTGATAACTTC